TTGAATCTTGTTGTCCTCCGGAGTCGTCCTTGCAATGCACGCACGTGCTTGGTGCTGGTGGGTAATTGAACCTTACAGACCTTCGACCCTAAACCCTAAACCCTAAACCCTAAACCCTAAACCCTAAACCCTAAACCCTAAACCCTAAACCCTAAACCCTAAACCCTCAACCCTCAACCCTCAACCCTCAACCCTCACCCTCAACCTCAAACCCCAACCCTCAACCCTCGACCCTCAACCCTCAACCCTCAACCCTCAAACCCTCAACCCTCAACCCTCAACCCTCACCCTCACCTCAACCTCAACCCTCAACCCTCAACCCTCAACCCTCAACCCTACCCTACCCCCCCCCCCCCCAAAAAAAACAAAAAAATCAAAAACCGGAGAGGCGGAAGAGAGCGTCAAGAAGGCCCAAGAGGCACTCAGGGCATGTGATCCCTGGCAAGAAGGCCCCAGGTTTGGCTTGGGTTGCTGTGCTTTGGGCTGATGGTTGAGGGCTCAAGCCTAGACGCAAAAGGGAAAAGGTTTAGGGTTTAGGGTTTGGCTTCTCTCGGTTCTGTCACCAGTGCAGCGACTTGAGCGACATCAGGGGTGGGTTCCTGGCGTGACTTTGCAAGCCAGTTGCAAAAAGGGTTTAGGGTGTAGGGTTTAGGGTTTAGGGTGGGCCTTCTGGTAGGCGTCGTGTGGCCGTGGTGAAGAATTCGATGATGCGGGTTGTGTTCTTTCTGGGTTGTTCTCGATCAGGGTCTGTTTTGGAAGGCTTGTTAGAAGCGACATGAACGCGACTCCTCATAAGCGTATCCAATCAAAGCCTCATTGGAACAACCAACCCCCACGGTATGAGCCAATCCAAGTTTTCTGCCGAGGATGATGAGGTCAGCAAGGTCCAGCGGGTGAAGCAAAACTTCGAGGATCTCGGGCCTTGAGCGTTTTTCTGCGGCCAGCGGAGCCTTTCTCAAGGGGTCATCGGGTCACCCTGAAAATGGGAGCCTTAACCCGAAACCCTAAACCCTAAACCCTAAACCCCAAACCCTCTTTCTTTTGGGGCGATTCAGAAGTTCAAGATTGATGCCAGCACAGGACGACTTGAGAACAGAAGTGTATGCCCAGGCCTCTAGTGAGCATGGCGCCAAGCCTCACTCCCCATGCACCAGCCGTTCAGGTAGGTGGGAGGTTAGAGCAGGGGGGGGTAGGGTAGGTAGGTCAGGTAGGCCGGGGTACGGTGGATGGAGGAAATCTTGCACCGCGTGTGACCTTGTTGCTAGAGGCTGTGCCTATTTCTGGAGACTGTGGATGGAGGAAATCTTGCACCACTTTCAAGGGTGCATAACATTCTCTCCCCTCGCCCCCCTTTTAACATTGCGGTGAAAAGCAGATTTTCAAGATTCGGCCCAATGACATAAATCCTGCACCGCTTCCATCGTGACAAGCACCAATGTTAAAAAGGGGGCGCGGGGTTGGCGTCAGACCCGTTTTGGAGTAGATCAAGTCGGCGGCGCAAGATTTCCTCCATCCACCGACTGAACAAAAGCCCTTGCCACAGGCCGGCCTTGCAAAAGTGGTGCAAGATTTCCTCCATCCACAGTCCCCAGCATGGGCTTTAACAGGGGCTTCAGATTGCACGTTGCCTGCCAACATGTGCTTGCCTGGTGCTTCAAAGTACTTCTAGTGGCGACATATCGGGGTCGAGTTCTGTGATGAGTAGAGATGCTTCGGTGCTGTGCTTGTTGGTGTGTGAGCAAGAGTGGCAAGGTTCATTTAGTTGGGCTGCGTGACGGTGCGTCGACAACACGGCATCTGCAGATCCGCATTAAGCGTTTGAGGATGACCAGGTCAGCAAAAAATGCTGGGCATTCAGGTATCACGTGACCTGCAAGGGAGATCTGAGTCAAAGCAATCGCACCACATGTGTATAGCGTTGACTGCATTCTCACAGTCAACGTTCAGTCAACGTTCAGTCAGCGTTACAGTCAACGTTACAGTCAACGTTGCGGAAATGCTGGCAGGGCCAGCAAATCCGTGTATTTCACTATAAAACCCAAAAAAACTTGATTTTTTGGCTTTTAAGCTTGGAAGCCATGGAATTGCTGGCAGGCGTAGCATTTCGGCAACGTTGACTGTAACGTTGACTGCAACGTTGACTGAACGTTGACTGTGAAAACACAGTCAACGCTACCAGAAGCGTGGCTTAGAGTCGGTCTCACGCGATACACCTGACACGGAGAAGATTTGCATGGCCTCCGCCAGCATGACATGCAGAAATCGACTTGCGTGGCCCCTCCGCAAGCATGACAGGCGCAAGTCGCGAAGTACAGTTATAGCTGACAACAGCAAGGTGCGACTCACTTCAGTGGCTCTGCAGTTGTCTCAGCTCTCGAAAAACCTCCTCAGTTGAGTCGGTCCCCAGCATGGGCTTTAACAGGGGCTTCAGATTGCACGTTGCCTGCCAACATGTGCTTGCCTGGTGCTTCAAAGTACTTCTAGTGGCGACATATCGGGGTCGAGTTCTGTGATGAGTAGAGATGCTTCGGTGCTGTGCTTGTTGGTGTGTGAGCAAGAGTGGCAAGGTTCATTTAGTTGGGCTGCGTGACGGTGCGTCGACAACACGGCGTCTGCAGATCCGCATTAAGCGTTTGAGGATGACCAGGTCAGCAAAAAATGCTGGGCATTCAGGTATCACGTGACCTGCAAGCAATCGCACCACATGTGTAGCGTTGACTGCATTCTCACAGTCAACGTTCAGTCAACGTTCAGTCAACGTTACAGTCAACGTTACAGTCAACGTTGCGGAAATGCTGGCAGGGCCAGCAAATCCGTGTATTTCACTATAAAACCCAAAAAAACTTGATTTTTTTGGCTTTTAAGCTTGGAAGCCATGGAATTGCTGGCAGGCGTAGCATTTCGGCAACGTTGACTGTAACGTTGACTGCAACGTTGACTGAACGTTGACTGAACGTTGACTGTGAAACCACAGTCAACGCTACCAGAAGCGTGGCTTAGAGTCGGTCTCACGCGATACACCTGACACGGAGAAGATTTGCATGGCCTCCGCCAGCATGACATGCAGAAATCGACTTGCGTGGCCCCTCCGCAAGCATGACAGGCGCAAGTCGCGAAGTACAGTTATAGCTGACAACAGCAAGGTGCGACTCACTTCAGTGGCTCTGCAGTTGTCTCAGCTCTCGAAAAACCTCCTCAGTTGAGTCGGTCCCCAGCATGGGCTTTAACAGGGGCTTCAGATTGCACGTTGCCTGCCAACATGTGCTTGCCTGGTGCTTCAAAGTACTTCTAGTGGCGACATATCGGGGTCGAGTTCTGTGATGAGTAGAGATGCTTCGGTGCTGTGCTTGTTGGTGTGTGAGCAAGAGTGGCAAGGTTCATTTAGTTGGGCTGCGTGACGGTGCGTCGACAACACGGCGTCTGCAGATCCGCATTAAGCGTTTGAGGATGACCAGGTCAGCAAAAAATGCTGGGCATTCAGGTATCACGTGACCTGCAAGCAATCGCACCACATGTGTAGCGTTGACTGCATTCTCACAGTCAACGTTCAGTCAACGTTCAGTCAACGTTACAGTCAACGTTACAGTCAACGTTGCGGAAATGCTGGCAGGGCCAGCAAATCCGTGTATTTCACTATAAAACCCCAAAAAACTTGATTTTTTTGGCTTTTAAGCTTGGAAGCCATGGAATTGCTGGCAGGCGTAGCATTTCGGCAACGTTGACTGTAACGTTGACTGCAACGTTGACTGAACGTTGACTGAACGTTGACTGTGAAAACACAGTCAACGCTACCAGAAGCGTGGCTTAGAGTCGGTCTCACGCGATACACCTGACACGGAGAAGATTTGCATGGCCTCCGCCAGCATGACATGCAGAAATCGACTTGCGTGGCCCCTCCGCAAGCATGACAGGCGCAAGTCGCGAAGTACAGTTATAGCTGACAACAGCAAGGTGCGACTCACTTCAGTGGCTCTGCAGTTGTCTCAGCTCTCGAAAAACCTCCTCAGTTGAGTCGGTGGATGGAGAAATCTTGCACCGCGTGTGACCTTGTTGCTAGAGGCTGTGCCTATTTCTGGAGACTGTGGATGGAGGAAATCTTGCACCACTTTCAAGGGTGCATAACATTCTCTCCCCTCGCCCCCCTTTTAACATTGCGGTGAAAAGCAGATTTTCAAGATTCGGCCCAATGACATAAATCCTGCACCGCTTCCATCGTGACAAGCACCAATGTTAAAAAGGGGGCGCGGGGTTGGCGTCAGACCCGTTTTGGAGTAGATCAAGTCGGCGGCGCAAGATTTCCTCCATCCACCGACTGAACAAAAGCCCTTGCCACAGGCCGGCCTTGCAAAAGTGGTGCAAGATTTCCTCCATCCACAGTAGGGTAGCCCGACAACCACTTCAGGAGCTGTACGAAAACCCATCAGACAAGGCCAAGACAAAGATCAAGGCACGGTGGCGTAGTCTTGGACATCGTCGGTCTTCCTTCTTAAGATCCCTTTCTGGGTCCTTAAATGTTTGTTTTTGGAGAACTGGCCATATATTCTGAGAGATCCGAGGGGTCAGGTGGGTCAAGGTGTCCTGTGAAGGTGAAGATGTACCGTAAAGTTTCCTAGTTTCCTGCCCGGGTGCGAGAATGCAAGAATCATGATTCCCCTTTGCGCTTCACAAGCATGATCTCACGACAGTTCCTCACATGCATATGCACATGTATAGAAGCCATGGGGAGATTGGTGGCATGCCTGCAGCACCGCCATTTTACAGAACCGTGCGAAACTTAACTCTAAGCCCACTAGAGATCCTAAAGCCCTGCAGCATCTGCGATGTGTATGCGTTGGCTCACATGAAGGCCTTGTCCAGGTCTTCGTCCGCCCACCCCAAAAGGCAGCAGGCAAACCAGCTGAACACAGCAGCAGATGTCCAAGACCCGACTTAAGGCACTTGTGGTCCCGGCCCTCCGAACTTCAAACTTCAAAGTGCAGCTTTGCGACACTCGCACATGAATGCCCATGTCGAGCAGACAACGCGTTCAGGAATGTGTGGCTTGGGCGATGCTGGTGCCAAATATCCCAGCCCTCCATGCCCTGAAGATGTTGTTCTCAGGTCCTGGATACTCGCAGACGTACCGCAATACATGGGTGGGCTGGTACAGCGCGGGCGGATACATCATGGATTCTGCAGGAGTCATGCTTTCAGGACGTGATGGCAAGACTCCGGACTATGACACAGCAGCCTTGGTCGGAGTCCGCTTCGAGGACACAGGAGGTGGATTCGTTGAGTTTGAGCTGTATAGAAACTAGGTTGGCTTGTGGGAGATGTTTCGTGTTTTTCCTTACTTGGGTTTATAAGGGGCCCTCGAATCTGAATATGTTTCAAAGGGTTTAGAGGCCAACCCAGGTAAGTATCGTCAGCGGTCGCTGTTGAGCATTGTCAATGACTGCATGGGAACCGATCGAGAGAATGATGGCTCTCCGGCTTGGCGATCGGGCCATTGCAGGGTCGGGAAAGCATCAAGCACCTTCGGGGTTGTTCGCCCGTCCCCTGAGATGGTGATAGGTTATGCTGGCTCCAATTTGGAGCCGCTGAACTGGATTCTTTTCAAGGTACAGGAGAGTGCAGCCCAAAGGAGGTTGCCCTTTGCTTATGGGACCCAAAATAGCACGAATCCAGGCTTTGCTGGCCGCGTGTACATCTATGGGGTGCAATATGCCGTCGAACGTGCCGGCATGTGGAAATCCGTCACACGGCCCTGTCAGCTGGATGGGGATGGCTGCGTGACAAGCCACAACTTTCCAAGATATTACGGGACACAGGAGCATTGCAGCATTGAAATTGAGCCGTCACTTGCAACTCCCCTGAATGTAACGGATTTCAAAACAGAGAGTAATCACGACATCCTCACGGTCAACGGCAAGGTGTACAGCGGTTCGACTGGACCACAAGGCATCACGCCTCTGGAAGCAATTGTGTGGAGGTCTGACAATTCCGTTTCCAAGCGTGGCTGGCGATTATGCCCATCAACTGTCGGGAGTGCGATTGGCTCCATCGAGGATCCGCCGAGTGGCGTGCATGTGTTCTTGCCGGTGATCTTTTTGGCCATGATACTTTGTCATAGTTGGGTAACATTGCACATGTTTAAGGGTACTCAAACCCAATATGGAATAGACATTTTTTCTATATTATCCCAACCATGACATAGGATATGCCTGGCATGCTATTCTGGGCCGACAATGCTGCGCACCTGGCGAAGGTGGCACGCGCAGCGAGTGCGCTTGCGGAATGATCTGGATCATGATGGTGTTTGCGGTGATCTCACAGTGGACGCGACTGAGCTAACCCTGGACCAATCGCAGCAAGCGCAATTGCTCAGAGATGGACACAGCGAGTTCGCAAACTGAGCAGTGGATTCTTCGCCGATAAAAAAGCTGGAGTTGTCCGTTGCTCTTGTGTAGGCATTCGGGCCATTTCACCATCGTGTGCTTGTTGCGGAGAGTGGCAATAACGTGCGAACCCGAAGCAGTACAAGCCCAAAGCAGACTAAGTCCCAAGCAATACCAGCACAAAGCAGTACAAGCCCGAAAACTCGTGCAGTATACGGAAGTGCTTAAAGCTATGAGTGTTCAATGCCGTGTTTGGTACAGCCCCCTGGATTTGCATAGTCGTATTCTCTGGTATTTCGCCCGTGTCCTGAAGCTCTAAGAATCACCGGAGGAGCAATCGTAAGAGTTCTGAAGTTGGAGCCAATTGAATGTTGCTGCAGACACCGGCTGGATCGGGACATGTGATTGGAACGAGCGGAAGCAGATGTATGTTAACTGCGTTGGGTTGTGTGGATTAAGTGTATTGATTCCTCTTTGGGCACCTGGGCCACTGCACACAAGAGATTTTACACAAACAGAAGCAGGGTGCATTGTGCTGCTTTCAACTTGCCCTGTTTGCCGTGGTAGCGTGACGCGCATGGCATCAGAGGGTCGCTACATACGGCTGCCCTCCGACGGCTCGCCTCGTCAGAAGACATGCCAGGAGGTGGTGAGAAAGCTGGTTCCCATTGTTGAATGGCTGCCCGCGTACCACTGGAAGGAGAACTTGGTCAAGGATGTCGCCGCTGGCGTCACGCTGGGGTGTGTGTTGTTTGCCCAGTCCCTGGCCCACGCAACCCTGTCAAAGGTCAGCCTGATCACTGGGCCTTACAGCTGCTTGGTGCCTCCCGTCCTCTACTCTCTTTTTGGGACGTGTGTCTTGGTAGCCAAGTCGTACCCTTTACCCTTTCCTTGTTTATGGTTTCCCTTACAAAATAACCAACCCCAAACAAGGGTGCCCTTAGCATAATAAGGTTACTGGGCTACCTTAAGGTGTCCAGGCCTCCGTGGGAACAGGCGGCTTGGTGGCCTTGCTCACAGGCGAGCAGCTAGGCCAATTGTCCGGCGGTGAGGAGAGGAGGACCCATGCCAGCGCCATCTTCACCTTGGAAGTTGGACTGGTCATATTCTTCATGGGTGTATTTCAGCTGGCTTTCCTGGTGCGGTTTCTTTCGAAGCCTGCACTAAGTGGCTTCATCACTGCCAGCGCGATCCTCATCATGCTGTCTCAAGTCAAGCCAGCCATCGGCTTGCCAAAAACAGATACTTACTGTTGGTTAGACGGGGAATGAGGGAATGAGGCACCCTGTACATTCCCTTAAAGGGCATAAATATATAAATATAAGTAAATAAATAAATAAATAAATATATATATATGTATATATATACGGGGATCTGGGGTACCTCATTCCCTCATTCCCTACGAACCAAACAGTAAGGATATCGGAGGAATCGTGGACATTGTCTTCGTGCACCCGAAGGAAATGCGCGATGTGAATCCTGCAACCATCGTGTTCAGCGTCTGCACCTTTCTTTTCTTGCGCCTTGCCAAGAATCTGAAGTCCATGGGATCCTGCCTTAAGATGGTCGCTGAATTCAAGGAGGTCATCTTGCTTGTGCTTTCTGCGCTAGTTTGCAGCAGGATTGCAGAACCCTATGGCATCGCTGTCATAGGACACGTGCCAGAAGGCTTCCCTGCTCTGGCTTGGCCACTACAAACCAGCGACGACTGGCAACTTGCCAAAGACCTCTTTCCTGGAGCCGTGATGCTGGCGCTGGTGAACTTCCTCTCATCGTTTGCAGCTGCCAGAAAGTTTGCCATGAAGGCAGGATACCAGGTGGTGGCTGTCAATGAGCTCCTCGCGCTAGGAGCGGCGAATCTGGGTGGTGCCTATATCCCCCTTGGGAATTCATTATTTTTGTTCATACAAAACCCAAGAGGATATCAATAATACTTTTTTTATTAAGGTTCTAAGGGGAGTAGAGGTGCCATGTGCGGTGCAGTTCCGACACAGATCGGCCTCAGCCGAATGGCAATCGCGAGCTCCATTGGGGTGAAGAGCCAGCTAGGGGCAAACATCTTTGTGGCCATTGTGATTGCCATGATACTGCTGCTACTGAGCCCGTACATCTACTACGTTCCACGGTGTGCCCTGAACATCATCATCATCTTGGGGGCATCCTCACTCACAGAGTTCAATCACGCAGCCTGGCTTTGGTCCCTCCGGTCCACCCGCACGCGGCAGCGCACCTACGTGGTGGACTACGCTGTTTGGTGGGTGGCCTTTCTCTTCACGCTACTTGGCAGCCCAGTGGTACCCTTTACCCTTTTTGTTTTTGGTTCTGGGCTCCCTTATAAAGTAATAAGTAACCAAGCAAAAAAAGGGTGCCCTTATGATAACATGGTTGCTGGGCTACTAAGGCTGTATCTGGGTGCCCTGAAGGGCATCCTGGGTGCGGTGGTCGTGTCTTTGGTGCTGATCGTGTACCAGGTGGCCGACCCGCCCATCACAACTTTGGGCTACTGCGAAGGTCGTGGGCGGTGGCTGAATGTCAAGGAGAGGACAGACACGACACAGCGCCCGGGAATCCTCTCATTCCGCCCGGAGGGCCCACTCTTCTACGCGAACGTGGAGCGCATGGAGGAGTGGCTCGACGAGATGGAGATTTTCGCCAACGCCGAGGGAAGGCCCCTGAAGTCAATCATCCTGTCAGCCGCAGCAGTGCCTTTCATGGACACCTCCGCAGTGGAAGCCCTTGGGATGATGCTTGAGGCATACCGCAAGCGAAAAATCGCATTTCTGATTGCCCACGCCTCCGGCCAGCCGCGTCAAATTTTGCTGCATGTGCTGGGCGATTACATGCCGGAAGGCTGCCTCGCGACACCGTGGACGGTGGAGGAGTGTGTGCAGTTTCTTGCTAGCCCAGGGGTACCCTTTTGACTTGTTTGTTCAAGGTTTCCTTATAAAGTAGCCAATCCAAAAACAAAGTACCTTTATTGTGATATGTTTACCGGGCTGCCAAGGTTTCTCTTGAAGCAGAACCAAGAGAACATGCAGGTGCCAGAGAGGTCTTTCGACTCCTCGCCGGCGCTGTCTGCCATGCTCTCGCCACAGGTCCAAGGCATTCCCCGAATCTTAGGGATTTTCGGGAAGAATTTCTAATTTTTTGAGCACCATAATTCCTACGAAGCAGCTAAAAGTACAATGTTTGCTAGGGTTCCACGTTCAGTGTAGGAATCACCTCATTTCCACAGCATCTGGCCGTGGACGAGGAAGATGACCAGTTTGCCGACGCAGAAGAAGATGGCAGGCGCTTGCAAGTTCGACCGCTTCACACCTCTGCCAGCTTCGCCTCGAGCTCAAACCTGCTACTTAGGGATTTTGGGAAGAGGTTTTTAAGTTTTGGGTGCTACAATTCCTAAGAAGCAGCTGAAATTGCAATTTTTTCCTAGGGTTCCAAGATCAGTATAGGTTATCCGTGCCCATGAAGCCATGAAGCCCTGTGCCGGACTTTGTAAGACGTGGGCGCCAGAGGGTTGACTCGTCGGGGGCACCGAAGTGGTGCCACACCCTGTTGGACACATGTTTCTTATTGTATATAGGTTATAGAGAAGCACATCACGTTGGCAGGCACTTTCCCGAGCTGAGAAAAAGTCGCTCTCGCCACGCTGCGTCTGCAGGTCAGCTAGGCAGGTGACACCAAACCCTAAACCCTAATCCCTAAACCCTAAACCCTAAACTGCTAGGCAGGTGGCACCAGCAACCCTTAACCCTTAGCCCCCTGAAAAGGCACTGCGAACCGCCTTGAAGCCGTATGGTCTCGATGAGGCCCAGCTGCAAGGGCAACTTGGATGAGTGAAAGGGTTTTTAAGAGGCTCAAGGGAATCTGGATGGTTGTGGCCAAATCATTGTGGGGTTCAATGCAAAAAGGTTTGATGATGTTTTTTTTAAAGAGGTTCAAGGGGATTAAGGCTGTGACCAAATCATTGAGGGGTTCAGTGCTAAGGGGTTTTGATGCAGTTGAATGGAGGTTCAAATGTTCGACATCACTTCGTTGTGTCCGAACCCTACACCCGAAACCCTAAAAACGCCCAGTCGCGTTCTGATCCTGCAGGTTGCAGTGCTTGGCAGATGCAGTGTAGGGCCCCTGTAAGGCACCAACATTGCTTCGGAGCATCCCTAAACCCTAAACCCTAAACCCTAAACCCTAAACCCTAAACCCTAAACCCTAAACCCTAAACCCTAAACCCTAAACCCTAAACCTAAACCCTAAACCCTAAACCTAAACCCTAAACCCTAAACCCTAAACCCTAAACCCAAAATAATTCAGCCTGCCTTGTGTGCGAAGCAGAGGCTCCCTGAGATCATGGTCAAGAAGAAGGCGAAGCGGACAGCCAAGGACAAGAAGCTCCTGACTTTGATCCAGGACGCAGGGGGCTTTCCACGGGGTCGCTGAGAGATGCGGAGAGGCCTAAACCCTAAACCCTAAACCCTAAACCCTAAACCCTAAACCCTAAACCCTAAACCCTAAACCCTAAACCCTAAACCCTAAACCCCTCTCGAATTCTAAAGGGAAAGCTTGGGAGCATGAAGAAGGAGACGCTGGCGGCGCAGCTGAAAGGAAGTTGGGACCTCAATTCTACTTGGGGTTCAGAAGATGCCGGGACGTGTGATGGCTTCGGTTCGGGATGCACGTATGCAATGCCCAAGCTAGGAATGTCCCCAAAGAGCCCAATATGGCTTAGTTAAAGAATATCCCTTAAATCACATTAGGGATCCCTATATGATTTATCCTATATTCCTTAATGAAGCAATATTGGGCTCTTTGGGCCTAGGATCTAGACTTGGCATCGCAGTGTATTGGCCAGACTTTCCTCGAACCCTAATCCCAGGGCTGCGATGTGCTTCCTGTACTTGTGGGGGTAGAAACCACCCCACCCTCAGTGTCCCAGGTCGAAACCTTAAGCAACTCAGTCGCCAGAATCTTCTCAGAATCCGACACTCTGCTGTCATGGCATTTTGAGCAGCCGGCACACCAGTCTAAGGGCGAAACCTTTCGGCGACTTGCCGCAGTGAGGTCCAGAAGTGCCAGCAGGTGGGGTTAAGTGTTTGGAGTTCAGGGTTCCTGACGCCAGGCTTCATGGGATAGTATGGTTTAGTTCAGCGTTTGGCACGTCCATGCGTTGCCTAGGCAGGCTTGCATGAGCGGAATCCTGGAAGGCGCATGGTTTTGGAGCGTGTCGAGATCATGCAATCCCATCATTCTGTTGTTGCAGTATGGCAAAAAACATTATTCTATTGTTATGTTATTAGTTTTCTCTATGATTGTAGTGTTAGATGATCAGATTTTCATTAATCTAATTTTAACTTACTGTATTTTCCTATTCTTATATCTTATGACCTACTGATCTTGTAGTCAGAATTTCGTATCATGAATTGCATGATTGTAGTTGATATGATTCCAATCGACATATTTGTGTAGTCTTATGAGAATATATTACTACACATGTATGATGTTGTTTTTGTATTATTTTATTTTCGTATCTGAATATGTTAGTATCCGTATATATTATATGTTTGATTTTTGCATCATTGTATTGTTCTATCACTAAGTTACTTACTATACTACTGGGTCACCCCCCTCCACTTGAGGGGTTTGTTCTTGGTGACCTGTTTGGAAGCCCAAAACCTCGTCCAGCTGAAGATGTCTTCCGCAGTGCTTCTAGAAGGAATAAGCATACAGCGACATAAATTGAGAACATATACTTATACATTTATAGATCATACAACTTTCTAGGAAATCAAGTAGGATGTTATGGCTCTAAGGCCCGTAGGGCCGTGTTGAGGTGGCCCATAACCCACAGGCTCGGGGATCGAAGTGGCGAGTTCACCCCGGAAGTGAGGCCGTCGATGCTCAGGCAGCCGCCGCTCGCTCGCGAGCCGAGGAGACTATGGGACCTGGAGTTTTAGGGTTGGGGTTTAGGGTTTAGGGACACTGCCCTGCAGTTAAGGCATAGCGAGAAGTGAAGGAAGGGACCTGTGCTATGCAAGGTGCCACCTAGTTCGTTGGGAGGACGCCGAAAACGACTTGGCTCGCGTGCTTTTGATGTCAATGTGTTTTTGCGCGGCCGAGTGGATTTAGATTTGTTGCGGTGTTGGTCGAACTGTCTGATCCACACGATCCTTACTACCACATTAAGGTCGATGCCTCGTTCAAGGTTGGTTTGTTGTATCCATGGTCTGTTCAGCTTTATTAAGTTTCCTGGGCCCTGGCCCCCCGAAAGTTCTGGAGCTGCACTACCCTACACCTCGGGACCCGAAGCATCTCAGAAACCCGGACGCTGCGCTACAACTCGGCCTGAGTTGTAAGTGCCGCAGACTAACGCAACATATCCCAAACCCATACCCCTTAACCTATAAGAGAAGAATATGAGGAAGGACTTTACCATACGCCTTCATTTCTTTTAAGGATATGCCCCAGGGGTATGTTGAATATGTCTTATTACTATTTGCTAAAGAGCTACCAAAACACGCTAACAGATCATCATCCCTATCTTGCCCTTATAAGGAAGAACATATCCCTATATCGTCCTTGTAAGGAAGAATACATTCCTATATTGCCCTTATAAGGAAGAACATACTTCATGTTCTTGGGGGCTCCTCAAGGACTAGTAGCCTTAGAAAGTGACAGCCGGGTGAGACGCAGGAGCTGCAGCAAGCAGAGGCGGCACTCAGGGCCAAGGAGGCTGCACATTCGGCAGCCGAGGAGGAGCCCAGAGTTTAGGGTTTAGGGTCCAGGGTTTAGGGTTCAGAGTCCTGCGCGACCCGAAGCCCTACGGAAGAATGCTCATGTCTCTTCACTTCAAATATGAATCCTACCGTAAGCCCGCTAAAGCCTGACAAAGGAGGGGTGGGCTGCGGATATACGGTTCCTGTTCTAAAGCCGGCTTTCGAGGCCAACTCTACACGAGCCAACGCATGCAATGGACAGCGAAGAACCTGAAAAGCATCACAGTTCCCCAACTACATCCCTGGGAATTTCCTTCACCCCTTTGGGGGGGCGGGGGGGAACTTGGCAGGATTCATGGTTTCGGGTCGTCATGCGGTTGAGATGACCATGAAGAACGCCACGAAGAGGTATTCCAAGATCACATGAGGCACAATCACATGGGGCACAAGCTCTTCATTGCAGCAGCCAGCACCCCAAACCTTAAGCTGCAAACCCTAAACTTGCACGAGCGTGAGAGTCGCAACCAAGCAGAATGAAGCGCAACGCTGAATAGGGGGGTTACGATAATGCCCGAATATAGACCCCCAAATGAGTAGGATTCCCATATAATATGGTACCCCAAGAAGGTACCCCGAACCTCGGAAACCCCCAGCTGGATCCTTGGGTTCGTTCAGGAAGGTTGAATTGGAGGGCAAGGGCGCTTTTTGACAGACCGGCACTGGTCAGGAGGTCAGCAAGGCCCAGAAAGACCTCGAAGAGCACGAGGCCAGGATGCACAAACCCCAAGGCAAGGGTTTAGGGTTTAGCATTTATAGGCTTTAGTATTTAGGGTTTAGGGTTTATGGTTTAGGCTTGCAGGGGTTAGGGTTTATGGGGTATGGTGTTTAAGGTGCATTGTCAAGCGTTCGAGGCTGCGAATATTGGGCGAACCAGGAGCGAAGATTTCGGTGAAACTGCCAATCTTAGATGCAAGATTGAGCTGTCTTACAAGGAAAGCTCCCAAGTCGTGCGCTGCGCTCTCCTTCCAGGGCCATGCTTAGGGCGCCGTCCCGCCCTAAACCCTAAACCCTAAACCCTAAACCCTAAACCTTAAACCCTAAACCCTAAACCCTAAACCCCAAACCGTTCGGCCAGCTGCGGGTCTCAACGGCACCGATGCCCTGAGGCAAAGATGACCCGAGCCGGCATCCTCCGCTTCAACTCGGATGCCGAGCCCCGGCGGCAAGCTACGATAAGGTATTATGTTGAGAAAGGTATATTGAAAAAGGTATTTGAATATAGTTTAAAAAGGTCGATGTAAAAAAGGTATTTGAATAAGCTATACTCATCACATTGAGAGAGTAAAATAGGGCATTCAGTCCGAAAGGGATCCCAGGATGAAAACTCAGAGTCAGTTTCCTGAAATTCAAAACGCTGACTTCTACGTCACGAACTGTCTCAGACCTAAAACCCTAAACCCTAAACCCAAAACCTAAACCCCACACCCAAAACCTGTAAAGACCAACTCTTGGCCGAAGCTCTTGAAATCTGACTGGGCCCGAACAGCTGGCAGGAATCCTGCCTCATCTGCTGCGACGAGCGGAAGGTGGATGCAGCAGCCGCTCAGCTTCGTCGGCATTCAGAGATCCTACTGGGTGTTTAGGGTTTAGGGTTTAGGGCGGGTCGGAGAGCGTAGCGAAGGCTCAGGCTAAACTGAGGAGATGCTGGAAGCATCGCGATAACCCGGACCTGCTCTTCTTTTCTGATAGTCGTGTCATGCCATTCTGCTGAAACTGCGTGAATACACACCGCTTGAACGTGGTGCCAATGTTCATGCCCTCATGTGGAACTATGGTGGTAGAGAGAAAAGAAGAAAAGAGGCTGCTGCCGCAGCAGCACCCGACATGCTTTCGTGTAGCGCGACACAGCTCAATGCCAAGTGCCACTTGAAGTTTCATGGTTACTTATAAGTAGGGTTGTAAGTACCCTAAATAGGGTTACAAGAAGAGTTATCATACTTATAACCCTACCTACTTCCAACCATGAACCTTCAAGCAGGTTATGCTGGGCTGCGGGCACGGCTGGTACTGCCCGGCCTGCATCAACCGCTTCGTGGAGGCCGGCGCCGTTCCCAGCTTAGGGGCTACCAGTCCCCTTCAGAGATGCCAGCAATCCGCGCCCAACCATTCCGAACCTCATCTGGCTAAGGTTTAAGTCCAGATGCAACAAAAATGAAGGATTCAGACGTTGGTAGCGACGTATGCTTGCGTCGGTGATGTGTGCCCTGCAGTGGAACATGGGCAGTGGCGCAAGACGCGCCCTGCCATTCTGAATAAGCCCTCCCTAACCCCTAAACCATAACCCTAAACCCTAAACCCCTAAGCCCTAAACCCTAAGCCCTAAGCCCTAAGCCCTAAGCCTCAGCCTGAACCTCGGCGTACTTTCTTGAATTTTCCCAGACCAACCAATAATCCAATAAACCCCGCTGTGCCGTGGCTAGTCGGGTGCCAACAAAACACCCCAAGCCCTCATTCGCAACAGCACTGGGCCAGGCGCGGCTTGAGACGGGCATTGCGGGGGACATTCCCTGCCCAGACTGTGCTAAAGCCATCTCTGAGGAAGACCTCCTCCGACACTCGAGGGAATGGTGTTTCAGGGAACTCGGGTGTTGCTGACTGGATTTTGCGCAAGGGGGGTCGGTCCGGACGTACAAATTGCCCTCTGTGTGTGACTCTGGGAGAGTGCGACTGCAAGCACGTTCTGTGCTGGTGTAATCTAGCAACTAGCGTGCTCACGGCACTGGGAGCATTGTTGAAGCCCTGCTGCCTGGCCGTACCAATCGCGCTCACCGAGCTCCAATGCGCTATCACGTCCAAGGACTCCTTCCCAAGAAGACTGTCTTCCGACTGCATGCCTCCAACATCCTGCGCCGGGCGGTGGCGTCGGGAAATGTCGTGAGACCCTGCCCGGTTCTGAGTGGGTTTAGAATCTGGCCATGTTCTATTCTAGCGTGAATTCGCCACATACAGGAGGCCGGGCGTTGGTCAGTGGCCAAGAAATTGCTCAGGTCCAACACCCGACTGCCTGATGAAGAAGGCTTTTCCTGATGCAACATCGGCGAGAGGCTCATGCCCCCTGTGTGGGCACGAAGCATGAGCCTTGGAGTCAATGAGAGGTCTCGACCTGTGCAAGCCCTCTAGGATCCTTCATCTACTTGTCAGCCTTGCAGGCGGCAACCAAGACCTATTGTTGTGCACGGTGTTGTTCTCAAGTTCAGAATGGCTTCTTGAGTCCTGATCTCTCAGGCTGGATGTGCGGCGCCCAGCCATACCACGAAGGTGGGTTTTCGGGCAGAGTTTGGTGTCATAAGGGCTGTAAGAGTTCGCCGACTGAAGGGTGCTGAAGGGAAGCTCTAGGGTGGGAGCTTCCCCCGTTTACAAACAGTCCTTCATAGGGATTATAGTACCCCCTATGATACTCCCTACTAAGGACTGTAGTAGAAGGGGGAACATCCCAAGCTCTAGGAAGACAGAGCTCAGCCAGGCCTCTCCTGCGAGGAGCACCGAAAGAAAGAGCGGGCCAGAGGCGACGACGACAGTAACCCGGCAGTGTGTGGGTTTAGGATTGGTTTCGGAGTTAGGGTTTAGGGTTTAGGGTTTAGGGTTTAGGGTTCAGGGTTTAGGGCTTAGGGTTTAGGGGTCGCGGCTGTTGGCATTTTCATCTTTGTGAGGCTTGGGGTGTGGTTGGATGAGCATTGCCTAAGTGGGAGATGAGGCTTCATGAAGTGGATGAAGGAGACGGGAACCAAGCAGTGCCCCAAATGCCGCCTGGCCGCAAACCAGCGGAGCCGGGGGGGTCGGGGGGGGGGGGGGGGGGGGGTAGCAGGCTTTGCTGTTCATGGACGGAGAGCCTTCGCAGGGTTCAAGTTGCAGCGTTGGCATGGGAGATCCAAAAGGCACCACTTGAACGTAGATGAAAGTGTAGTATGGAAAAATGGGACAAACCACTCCGTCTGCGAAGCGAGCTGGCGCTTCTCAGTCTCGCTCTTCCGTGTCTTTCCTCTCTCAACAACCCTAAACCCTAAACACTAAACCCTAAAAGCCCTAATCCCGAAACCCCCAGCAGTAGGCCTCCATCGGCAAGCTGCCCCCGAAGGGCATGCACGCAGCATGCACGTCAGGTGGGATGGCGACATCCAAGGAGAACTTGGACTCCCAGACGGAGCTGTGGTCCGTGTGCGTGGTATGAATTTCGTAGTTTGCCGTCGGGAGAAACTGGAACGCATCCCTTTGCCCGGGTTACACAAGACGTTTCGTGAACTTGGTTTAGAGATCAGCATTGAATATGAAAGCTTTATGAAAGGCCTTGCCAGGGTCCGGCGTGCCGCAATTTGACACAGAAACGCAACCACTAGGGGCATGAGTTTACTGGACACATTCGGCCCAAAGCCCCCCTTCTCAGTGCTGGACCCTCAATATTAGCGTCCCCTCCCAAAAATGGTGCCTGTAGAATAGGGATCATGTTACGGGTTTTCATGGGGACCTCCAGGACCAAGTGGAGGAGTGCCACAAGATGTTGTGCCGCAGCTGCGGCACCAAGTTCTGTTTCGGCTGCGGTGCTGTGCTCACGGAAACTTACACCTGCGCCTTGGGCTGCAATCAGGGGGTCTCCCTAAACCCTAAACCCTAAACCCTAAACCCTTATGGTTCAGGGCCCAGGGCTTCGGACAGAAAGGAGCCGGGCTTGGGAGCCGTAAATCCCACGGCCTCTGTAGCCCAACAGAGAAGAACCCCGAACCTGACAGGTAAACATTTTTTATTAAAAAAAAAATAAATAAAAAAATTTTACATCCCAGGCGGCTGCACGCAGAACGCTCACAACTTCGTGGACCCCCACACGGGCAAGCTCGTGAAGCACCTTCAGAAGCTTCGAGTTGCGTTGCGCTGAACAGACGTTCATGGCTTTCATCTCTAGGCTCCCTCCAGGACGGAGTTGCAACTCGAAGTCGGGATGGGCGCGTTCATTTCAAAACAGCAACCCTAAACCCTAAACCCTTCAGTGTCGTAGCAAGTGGACCTTCCAACCGAATCCTTGCCTGCCTTGTGCGTGTGTGTGAGAGCCGAAACCTTTAACCCTAAACCCAAAACCATAAACCCTAAACCCTAAACCCCAAACCCCAAACCCTAAACCCTAAACCCTAAACCCTAAACCCTAAACCCTAAACCCTAAACCCTAAACCCTAAACCCTAAACCCTAAACCCTAAACCCTAAACCCAGGCCCGACACCTTGACAGTCTTGTGAGTAGAGCATCGCCAGCAGTGCTCAGGAAGGCCAAGGCCAAGGCCAAGGCAAAGTCCCGCTGATGCGGACCCCGCCAAAGTGAGACAGGTTAGGGTTTAGGGTTTAGGGTTTAGGGTTTAGGGTTTGGGGTTTGGGGTTTGGGGTTTAGGGGTATTGGGACTGGGAGCCGTCAGGGTTTAGTATGCTTGGTACCCTTGTGCCCTTTTTCTGGTTCCAGGTTCCCTTTATAAAGTAACCGCTGAGGGTGCCCTTATGAGAATCATGGTTACCAGGCTACTAAGTATGGGATGTACGCTACATTGGACGGTTCCCAAACCTCCGCCTCAGAAGAGATTCCGCTTCAATGCGGATGAGCCCTAAACCCTAAACCCTAGACGCTTAGGATCTCGAATTTGCTGTGAAGGCGGCAGTTCTTTGCACCGGGGGTCGGGGGCGTGCGGTCCAAATCGGACGCGGTCCGGCTAAGCTTATAAACCCTAAACCCTGAACCCTGAATTTGCCGCACCCTGACCCACCCGCGAGGCTCGAATCCCGAAGCCTTCCCGGTCCCTGATAGCTGAACCCTCAGGGTTTAGGGGGTCAGGATCCCCTGAATTTGTATGTGTTTGGCCCGAACTCGAAGCTTGATACCCTCTCCTAGTTGCAATCGATTGAGGAAGCTAATGGTCCCAGATCCAGGGTAGGTGGCCGCCATCATTTTGGGAGCCCCCCCACCCCCCCTCCCATGCCACCACTCTGGGAGTACGGGCCCCACAAGGGGGCACCAAGAAGAGGTGTGGGTCTCGATGCCCAAATTTAATCTTGAAATCTTGTGCTGGCACGTGCTGAAACATACCGAAGCCATACCTCCAGGCGGGTGCGCTGAGTCTTCCCAAGACATTCTGGTCCAGCACGGGCCCTTCAGATCCCATGCTAAGTTCGATATGGTTGTAAATTCAGTCCTTCCCCCACAGTCAGTAGTCGACAGGGCCTCAAGTCTTTGCCGAACTCGGCGGGAATCTGATCCAGAGGGCCGTGCCGGGAATGCGAACAGCAAGCCGAACCGCGCACGGTGACAGGTCCCAGCGCGCGTCCCTGCGCACTTTCAACGCCTCCTTCAGAAGGAAGAAACACCCCACAGAGCTTTCCTGTCACCGTGCCATTGATTGTAAAATTCAAAACTCCCGAGTGAGAGCTGCTAGCAGCAGTGGCCGGCTAGCTGTAACCGTAGGTAATGGACGAGTGGTGGTTGCAAGCAACACTGCTTCTCGACAAAGCGACATGGATTGATGTCAATGCTAGTAGGGTCTGGGATGATTGGTGCCTACCAATCGGCGACGTCGCCTGGGGCGAGTGTCTACAACCACACACTGAATGTCGCTGAATCGCACAGGCCCGTGTCAAAAGAAGCCACGAGTCTCATGGGTTAGATCTGTAATTAGGTGTGGTGTAATTTGTGAGACTTTACCCAGGAGCCCTGAAGCCTACTCTAAGATTGGTCAAGCTGCCGGGTTGACGACCTGAGCCCACTTGCGCGTGCAGCTGGGCTAGGGTTTTGTTTGGTTAAGGTCGTGTTCTCATTACCTCGGACCTGACCTCGCATTCATTCAGCCTTACATCAGAGACCCCCGAAGTCGAGCCACCAGCCCAATGAAAGCAACTTGCTTGCACAGCGTCCAATACCGTTGCACAGGAAGGGGTTTGTTTACCATTGCGGCCCGCTAATCCCTTAGACTAGCAGTTTTAAAAGGGATGATAGTGCTCCATGTGTTAGTCTCTTTTAAGAACCTTTAGAAAAATGGGGGAACATCCCAAGTTATCCTTGTGGTGCTTGTCAGAGGACACCTAAAAGGGACCCAAGTTTAGTACTCTGATTCAGAATAACCCACCTTTGACTGTGCCGCTACAGCCCAAGAGCTCCGAAGCTAAGGTCCGAAACTTGGAGGGTTGTTGAGCATTTGGCCCCCCCCCCCCCCTCGTTTTTTTGGCGGGGTTTCGACACACTGAAGTGCATCGGTAAGGGAAAGCCCCGTGCCCGTGTGAAAGCCGAAACCCTCAAGTTGCAACACATTCCCGCGTGGTGTGCGACCAGACTTCATCCTCGCCAGGCACGCCACCCGCCTGAGGGCTGCGGGCACGTTTCAATGCTCAGGGTCAGCATGGGCGCACCATGGTCTCTCAGGGCGCAGTGGCGTGTTCCATCTCTTCCTTGGCTGTCTTGGGGACCACACGAACCCTAAAATTGGGGTCATCGACCCCTGTACGACTACAACAATGAGGGTATATGAACCATAAACCTTGTTAGGGTTCATGTGGTCCACAAAGTTTCGCCGCATTCTCACCACATACTCATCTCACTCACCGTATGCTTCAAGCCCTGTCAGGTTGACAGATCTTCCAAAACCCCTTAATTAAGGAATATACAGTTACACTAACTTATAATACTTTTTCTAAGGATCATAATTATGAAATTGGGGTATATTTCCTTAATTAAGGGGTTTGGGAAGATCCTGGTTGACATGTTCCAAAGACCGCGCAAGAGAAAGCCCTTCGGCATTGAGACTCTTCAGTGTTCTCCACAAGTCTCATCTGAACCCAAAGAGCCCAATATTGCCTAATTAAGGAATATACCTTAAATCATATTAAGGATCCCTATATGGTTTAAGGTATATTCCTTAGTTAAGCAATATTGGGCTCTTTGGGAACTGTGCCTTGATGCGCATTGATGATGGCCCGCGGTGCTTGGCCTGTTGCATTTAAAGCTGCGATGGGCTCATAATCCACAGCCCTCCTTTCAAATTGAAGGCAAGCATGTGCTTTGGTGAAGGTCCACGTAATGATCCCTTCTGTCAGCTCGTGTCAGCTCTTCGTGGCAAAGGCCCTTGGCTCAAGGCAAATTCAGGTGTCAAAGTAAGCTCAACACCCTTTACTGATGAATTCTTGCTGATTGAGACGCCCCATTCGGCCCCCGAGCTAAGTTAGTTCGAGCCGCTCCAAGCCCTATCCAAACTCCGCTGTGCACACGCCTGCAACGTCTTGTCAGCCGCTGCCTCCTACCAGCCTTGAAACTACGCTTAGCCCTGGGCTTGAAAATCTCGCCGAACCCCCCTGCCCAACCCCCCCAAACTCCTCCCCACCCCCCCCCCCCCCCCCCCCCCCCCCCCGGCCCCCTCAGGGCCCGAAGCCTGCCATGAGATCGCCGGGTTGGGCTGCCGACGTCCGTCTTCGCGTCGGGCCGGTCCTTGGCCTGGGCTTGGATTTAAAGAAAGGGGGGGGGGGTTTAGGGTTTAGGGTTTAGGGTTTTTAGAGACACGCAGTTTGCTCTTGGTTTGCCTTTGGAGTGCACGAGGGTCTAGCAGAGCTCCTAGTCGTAAGCTTAAGTTTAGGGATTTAGGGTTTAGGGTTTGTGAGAGAGAGGGTTTAGAGCTCGCGGAGTCAAAAGGGTTTAGGGTTTAAAGTTTAGGGTTTAGGGTTGAGGGTTTGGGGTTTTAGGGTTTAGATGCATATCTAGTGCACTCAAAACATAGAGAGCTGGGAAGGGCGCTAGCCCCAGCGCCGCGCGCTGCATAGGTTCATGCCCTGACTCAAGAGAGTCTCGTTGCAAGGGCGGAAAGTAGGCGATTGGGACGCAGGCAGGGTTTAGGGTCTGTTGTCTGTTGTCTGGGTTTAAACTTAAAAGCCCAATCGGGATTATGGTGCCTTGACAAGGCTTCGCCCTGCCATGCCGGCTTCCTGCCCGAGAGAGTGGCGATCTGCACGCCAAGCGCGCAAAGAAGCTCGTGGCCTCAGCGGTGGAGATAGTTTTGGTCTTCAGCAGACTCCCAAAACCCTAAACCCCAAACCCTAACCTGTCGGCTTGGCATGACCCGACAGCATTGGCAAGCACAGCGATTCATCTAGCATATGTGGAAGCATCTCCTGTCGGGGCCACCGAAGCAGTAGTGCGTGAGCGAGGTCGATCCTTATCGCCGCGCAGCGTGATCGCCAGCTGCACATCAGCCGCAGGATCGTGGTTTGAGGGCCAGATGACGGTGGTAAGCTGCTCACGAGCATGACGGCTGAAAGACGTATTCGGACGCAGAAAAACAGTACAGGCTAGTTCTTCATGTACTTGTAGAGCCTCCAAAAATCCTCCAGAATTACATTGTGAGAGAATTGATTGTGAGAGGGGCGAGGGGGAGAGAGAGAGAGAGAGAGTCAGTGAGTCAACGAAGCTGAGCGTGGAGGCAAAGAAGGAAAAAGAGATCTGCGAGCCAGCATTAGCATAACAACGATGGCCCAAGCCTGGTTAGGCTCAACTCTCGGCATATTTTGTGTCGCACAAGAACCATACGTATGGACAGTTCACCGAAAAATGCAAAGTTTGCGGGGCAACTTGCCCCAGCATGCTATGAACGAAGCCTGGAAAGTACGCGCCTGCGCAGTCCAAACGATCTTGGGGATGTTTCAAGCCCACAGGCACGGGCAAATCTCTGAGCTTACCTGAGCGTGTGGTGTGTGGTGTGCCCGAGATGAGCATTGGGCTTTCGGAGGGACGGGTCGGATCCTGCTGCGCATCTGCCTGCTGGCAGATCCATCGGGCTATGATGCCACAAACGAAGATGGCAGTCTGAAGTAGCCAAGAGTTGGCCGCAATATGCGCCAGCATCTCTTGGAAAAAGCGCCACAGTCGAGCTCCTTCGAAGCGCCTAAACCCTAAACCCTGAACCCTGAACCCTGAACCCTGAACCCTGAACCCTAACCCTGAACCCTGATCCCAAAACCCTAAACCCTAAACCCTGCCCCGTTTTTCGAGGCCTGGCGACCTCCGTGGCTTCCTCCTCACCGGCCCGCAGCCCTGCGCCAACGCCGGCGGTGGCCACAACTGTGGAGGTTGGGACTCAGGGCTTAGGGTTTCGGGTTTAGGGTTTCTGGTTTAGGGTTTCGGGTTGGTTAGGGTTTCGGGATGGTTAGGGTTTCGGGATGGTTAGGGTGTCGGGATGGTTAGGGTTTAGGAAACAAATGCTCTGAACTGGCAGGCCTCCAAGATCCCTGAAACCCCAGACCCCTGCAGCAATGTGCCCATGCAGACCAAGTGGGCGTCCCCGTGCCACCGGTATGTGCAACCTACGGCACCTCAGCTGCGGTTTAGGGTTTAGGGTTTAGGGTTTAGGGTTTAGGGTTTAGGGTTTAGGGTTTAGGGTTTAGGGTTTAGGGTTTAGGGTTTAGGGTTTAGGGTTTAGGGTTTAGGGCAAGTTTAGGGTTTAGGGTTTCGGTCATGGGATTCTACCTTAATGCTTTAAGGTTGTAGACTTGGGTTTGGGGACCCTGTTTAAAGATCCACTACGCGAATAGAAGAGCCTAATAGTAGAAGCATATTCAGGGAAACCTCTTAGTTAGGTGTACATCCTTCGGGGTCTGCGTATGACTCCCTTAGACTTGGGTGAATGGGTTTGGATGGCCTCACAGTTTCGGATTCTTGGGTTGTAGTGCCTGCGTAGAGGATACAAGGCCGACATGTGGTTTGCTGGCCTATACGTCAAAGATCTGGGTCTGACAACTAAGATGAGTTGGGAGCAGTGCTTGATGAAGACTGTGCTACGCAGATGTGTGTGAGTCCTGCAGAGTAGCTAGACCTGGTGCTTCCCTTATCCTTGCTTTTTGCATAGTTATCTGCTGTGCTTGCTGCGCCCTAAACCCTGCCTGCTGTACACCAGCCCATCCCTTTACTTGCAACGCGCCCAGCAAGCACCCAGACGACACGAGCATTTGTCCAGGTCAGGCATGTGGTCGCAGGCAACTCGAGCCCTTGCAGATACACGATCGCGTCCTGGCTGCAGGTTAAGACCAGATAAAATACGCAGCATCAACGAGGGGGAGGCTTCTGGCTCCCAAGACGTTGCTGCCTAGCATTTTCCACCTGGTGTGCAGCCGCAGGGGCAGGGCGAACATGCCCCCTTGAAATCTCTCCAGGGTCCCAAGCCCCTAAAGCCCTAAGCCCCAAAACCATAAGCCCTTGCAGCCTCTGAACCCCTCGAAGCCCTGAAGCTCGAGGCGCCCGGCGAGCGAAGATGCTACAGCCCGCAGGCGCTGCCGGATGGAAATGGGGTCTGAGACCCTCCAGTAAGTCTCTGCCACATTGCGCGTACTCGTAGAGTTGACTTTTTGGCAGGTCTGGGGACCACATTATCCTGAAAGGGTTTAGGGTTCATATACCCTATTTGGGGTTATAGTAGTATAGGCGGGTTCATGATGAACGCTAAACCCAAAGCTTTAACCCCAATCGGTCCCCAAGGAACATGTCTGTCTTGGGGATGCTCGTTCTTTGGTTGACTTCTTCCCAGATCTCACACTCGGCGATTCGATTGATGTCAAGGGACCCAGCCAGTTTTAGCCAGTCCTTTGGGTTTGGGGTTTCGGGTTTAGGGTTTAGGGTTTAGGGTTGCTTTGGAAGTTTCCACTGCAGTAGCCCTGCGTGCTTGCCGCAGGTTGTGCGGACATACCAGTTCCGCCCAGCAGTGCCACGTCCGCCCAGCCCTTGGCACGTGTCAGGGAGCAGACCACCGAATCATCGGGTTGCTGGTAGAATGCAAGCTGTTCAACAACCTTCATGATTGCTCACATCCTGGTTGCAGAATAGGTCCCGGCATGTCACTGATACCCCGGCAAGCCCGTGCAGCTCAGGCAGACCCAAATAGATCCAGCGGCCACGCGAACCCAGGCCCTGCTAAGATGTGTCAATCCCTGTGTGCTTGTAGTAATTCTGAGAATCTCAAGCATGTCAAAACCAAGGTGCTTGCAACAGGCCCTTTTGCAACAAGACTGTTTGCATGACATGCCACCGTGTATTCAGACTCCACGACTATGCGTATGAACGGCCATTCCATAATTTCATAATCTGAATTCGGTTCTCTCATTGACCATCGCCGTTGATTATCTTCAAGCAGTTTTGCCTACAAGGTTCCCATAGTCGTGTCTAACAAAACCCGGAGGTGCGAAGTGAATTTTGGATCTACCCGTGGGTTTTTTCTGTTGTGAGGGACTTGATCTCGTTTGCGCAAGCTCTGCCGATGCCTGTCTCAACCTGATGTGCTTGAGTAACAGAGTCGCGCATCTGAAGGACATCTTAATCCCTTCTCCCTTTTATTAAACGTACTCGTACCCCCAATATTAAAAACACATTTCGAGTTTCTATTGGGGGGGGGGGGGGGCGTTTAATATTAGGGAGAGGGATTCGTGTTGCGAGTGAAAGGGCAGGAGCTCGCAGTCCGCAGACGAGAGAAGTTCTATAAGCCTTATGGGTCAACAAGTCTTCGTCATGCTGCATGGTCCCCGAACCTCCTCTCATCCAATGAAATGTCCCGCCACCACCCCCAATAAACGAAATACTTAAACAAGATAACTTGCGGTGTGTCGCCAGAGAGAGGGAGGGGCACAGAGAGGGAAAGGGAAAAGGGAAAGGGCGAGGGAGAGAGGGACACAGAGAGAGAGAGAGAGAGACGCACACTCCCGCTGCTTCCCAAACTGACTCGGTGAAAGCATGCCTACGGGCGGCCCCTCTCCCGATGGGGAGGGGTCAAGCGCGCAGAAAGATACAAAGACAAGACAAGGCCCCCCCCCCCCCCTGTCCTCAAGCACAGCAGAAACAGAAGACAAGTCCGGTCTGAAGCCCTCAAGTTCGCAGAAAAGTAAAGCCGTGGTGAATCCAGGGTCGCCCTGATGGACCCCTGTAGAGATTCTCCTACGCAGCGCGTGGGAGCGCAGCATTCGGTGACGAAGCTCCTTGTCGGGAGGTTTGGCCGAACGTCGTCCAGGGCATCCACTGCATCTTTGGCGACGCCCCTGGGCTGGCATGGACTCTCCTGTGCCCCAAGAAAGGGTGTTCGTAACAACATCATTTGCAGACCCTAAACCCTAAACCCTACACCCTACACCCTAAACACTAAACCCTAAACCCTAAACCCTAAACCCTTCCTATAGCCAGCCGCGAGTTGACGTGGCGTCAGCAGGCAGAGGATCCTGCCGTGGATGGGTGATGAGTGGGTCAGAAGGAACAAGATCCCAGACCCTCTTATATCAGCAAAAGAACCGTAGATTTCTGGAGAACCCTAAGCCCAAACCTTCAACCTAAGCCCCAAAGCCAAAACCCTACAGAACCCTAAACCCGAACCCGCAATCTAAACCCCAAAACGAAGAACTCTGCAGAACCCCAATCCCCGAACCCTCAACCGAAGTCCCAACCATTTTCTTGAAGCACAAACTCGAGACCAGGCGGGTGTGCCGCCCCCGCCGCTGAAGAACCCCACTTTGAGCATCCTGATCCGAGACTTCGAGATGCAGCTCCTGGGCGCATTTTCGGATTGTTTCTTTGGTTGTCCTAAGAACGCAAAAACCCATTTTTGGGTAGTCCCCTGTATGTATATAGCTGTGTTGGGGAACGCTACAAAAAGGGTAGGTTTTGGGTTCTTAAGGTAGGGTTGAGGGTTATAAGTACCCTAAATAGGGTTATAAGTACAGCTACCATACTTATAACCCGACATATAACTGCCCATGGACCTCCAAGTACACTCCCTAAACCCTAAACCAGAAGTGACCAGATGCCCCCAAGGAATCCAGGGCTGGCCGCCGACTGGGAGGGCGACCTCAGTCTTGTCCTGAGCTGGACTTTTTTTTCTTTTTTTTGGGGGGGGGGGGGGGGGGGTTAGGGTTTATAGGCTTCTAGGGTTTAGGGTAAGTTTATAGGGTTTATGTGGGGTTTATATAGGTTGTCTAGGGTTTATAGGGTGTATAGGGTGTATAGGCTTTCAAGATAGGGTTTAGGGTTGAGTCGAGTTTACACGGCGCTTGTCTTGCGAAGCTGTGAGGGTTGGGGGGGGGGGGGGTGCGGGCGATGTTGGGTTGAGCACGTTTGTCCGCTTGCCCGCCCCTGCACTTCTGCAACCTGGGGGGCCCAAGTGTTGGCGAAAGCTCCGCGCAGGCGCGTGCGGCCGATGTGCGAAGCACATCAGCTCCATGCTTCTGGAGCTTGCCAGGGGCTCATGGGATATAGCCTTGGCCCGTGTGCGGCTGCAGCCCCAAAGGTCAGTACCACCTCTGCTAAGCCCGCCCAATCCTTGAAAGATTCGTGGAAGACCATGTGGTCAGTTCTCTGAATTATGGCCGCCTGATAATGAGGAAAAGGTAGCCTTTGTGTGTTTTGCAGACAATACCTAGTATTTTGGGTACCCCAAAAAGGGATTATCATTTTGGCAACCACCCAAATAACCCTAAACCCTAAACTCTAAACCCTAAACCCTAAATGGCCATGTTGGGCACAAAAAATGATGGCCTTTGGCAGGCCTTGGGCGACCGAATCCTGGTGCCATTGGCTCCTGGAGGGCCCAGCGTTCCTGTGCCGCTGGGCATATCCCAGTGCCTTTCGGGTTTAGGGTTTAGGGTTTAGGGTTTAGGGTTTAGGGTTTAGGGTGTAGCACGGGTCAGCTGTACGCAGTTGTGTGCAGAAATGCCCACCCCAAGGCCACCCAAACACTACTTGCAGCGAAACAAACCAGAGCCAGCCGAACCAAAGCCAGCCCACATTCAAACACTCCTGCACTCAATGCTGTACTTCGGACTGGTATCCAATATGTTTCTTGATGTTACGAAATTTGCTATGAAGATGCCTTGCTGTATGGTAACATTTAAGAAGCTGCCCTAGAAACAGAACCTCCGGAGATAAAATTCAGATGTTGCGTTGGGGGACGTCTTCGGCCGGGTGGCCTTCTCATTGCTTCTATTCTCCATGCCGGGGTGGTAATATCGAAGAAGATGCCTTGAAAAAGATAGTGGAAATAGACCCGGCAGAAAAGTCAGGTTTTGCGCTGGGGGCGCATGGTGAGCGCATGGTGAAAGACCTGTTGCTAGAAAGGTGCCTTGTGAAAGTCATGGCTAGAAGCTTACAGGAGAAAATTCAGGTTTTGCGCTGGGGGACGTCTTCGGCCGGAGGGCCTTCTCATTGTTTCTGTTCTCTGACCGGAGTGTCAAGGCTGCATGGCGAAAGACCTGTTGCTGGAAGGGCGCCTTGTGGAAGTCGTGTCTAGAAACTTGCAGGAGAAAATCCAGGTCTTGCGCTGGGGGACGTCTTCGACCGGAGGGCCTTCTCATTGTTTCTATTCTCTATGCCGGTGTGTGTGTCTAGAAGCTTGCGAGAGAAAATTCAAGTTTTGCGTTGGGGGACGTCTTCGGCCGGAGGGCCTTCTCATTGTTTGTATTCTCTAGGCCGGAATGTCAAGGCTGCATGGCGAAAGACCTGTTGCTAGAAAGGTGCCTTCATAGAAGCTTGCAGGAGAAAATTCAGGTTTTGCGCTGGGGGACGTCTTCGGCCGGAGGGCCTTCTCTTCTGGACGGCCCGGGATGCTCCAGGACAACCTTTTTGGCGGCCCCGGGACAACCTGTCCCGGGGGCCCCGGACAACCCGCAAAATGGTCCGTTAGAAGGCCAAGGCAAAGAAATGGTCCGGAGCCCAACAGAGGCTCGGCTTGGCACAAAAAAGCTCCATTGTGAAGGCAAACTTCCCCCTTCAAGGGGGGGTCAGAGTTTTGACCAAGGGGGGGTCTCCAATACTGTTTTGCTTTGAAAATGGAAAAATGCGACCCCCCCCGTGACCGACTTCGGATAGGGGGGGGGGTGTCCGTTTCAAAGGCCCGGGCCCCCCGAAATTGAATTCGGAAAGGGGGGGGGGTATCCTGTTGAAAGCCCGGGCGGGCAGCCCCAAATTGACTTCGGAGGGGGGGGGGGGGTATCCGTTTTAAAGGCCCGGCCCCCCCGAATTGAATTCGGATAGGGGGGGGGGGGTACCTGTTGAAAGCCCGGGCAGCCCGAAATTGACTTCGGATGGGGGGGGGGGTATCCGTTTTAAAGGCCCGGGCCCCCCCGAAATTGAATTCGGATAGGGGGGGGGTATCCTGTTGAAAGGCCCGAGCAGCCCCGAAATTGACTTCGGATAGGGGGGGGGGGGTATCCGGTTTAAAGGCCCAGGCCCCCCCGAAATCGAATTCGGATAGGGGGGGGGTATCCGTTTTAAAGGGCGACACCTTCCGAGAGCAAAGGCTCGGTTTTAGGGTAATGTAATATACTAGAGACTATGCTTGGCGACCAAGCTTGGCGACCCCTTCAGGGTTGTGCCTGCAGGCCCGATCAGCCGAGATCGGGCCTGCGTGGTCTCGCTGAGCGCTCGACGGCGCCCACTCACCTCTAGAGTGAGAGGGGTGGTGGGCGGGTTTAGGGTTTAGGGTTTAGGGTTTAGGGTCTAGGAGGCCCTCATGAGGCCGAAGAGCCCCCTCTGATTGGCCCATGGGCCCCCGGAGGTTGGCACCAGCTAGCCGGAAATTTCTTCAACTGGGGGGTTCCGAAAATAGGGATGTTTTTTTTGGGAGGGGGGGTCCCTTTAAAGGGTGATTCTATGTTCTGTTTGGGGTAGAAAAGGGGTACCCCCTATGTTGGGAAATGCACCCAACTGCACACGACTGGACCTTTGAGGTGGAATTTCCACGGCAGTTTCGCAGTTGATGGGTGCCTCCGAGCCCTGTGAAGCCCCCCCCCCCCCTGAGCCCTGAGCTCAGTTCGTACCCCTGAACCCTAAACCCTAAACCCTAAACCCTAAACCCTAAACCCTAAACCCCAAACCCTAAACCCTAAACCCTAAACCCTAAACCTAAACCCTAAGATGCCCGAGAGGTCCACGAACGGTCCCGAGGGTCGGCCCTCGCAAACATGGCAGCAGGCGCCGGGCAGACTCGGGTTAATATAGGGGGAAGAATGAGAATGGGGTGTTGGGGGTTATTGTTGTAGTATAATCATAAAGGGGCCCCTATAGGGGAATACTATTACTAATTATTTCCGACCCCTATGTTAGACTAGGAAACTTTGAAGAAGTCTCACTTTCTCCGCCAGGCCTTTTCGGCTTGCTGCCCTGCGCTGCGGGCCGCCCTGCGCCTCAGAAACACCGCCAAGGCTCGGTTAACAGTGAAGACGCAGGACTGGTGGCGTTTAGGGTTTAGGGTTTAGGGTTTAGGGTTTAGGGTTTAGGGTTTAGGGTTTAGGGGACTGGTGGCGTTTCAGCATGCATCCCTGTGTTCTCTTGCGATGGGCAAGCCCACAAAGGCTAGCCTGTTTTGTTCCCCTCTCAATGAGAAATTCACCGTTTATGAAAATGAAACGAGAAACGCCGCAACCCGAACCAAGAATCTGCTGAGCTCTGCTCTCTTGCTGCCACCCGGTTCTGCTACCCTGTTGTGAGGTGCATGGCAAGAAACCCAAACAAAACCACCCCAAAATGGGGGTTTACAAAAGAGGGGACCCCAATATAGACCCCCCCCACATAGCAGGATCCCCTTACAAAAAGGAGCCCAAGTAAGGTACCGCCGAAGATGGTAATCCCCCAATGGCCCTAAACCCTAAACCCTAAACCCTAAACCCTGAACCCTGAACCCTGTTTAATATCATGAAACCCCCCAAATCAAGATTCCCTGGAAAGGTCGAGGCCTGCTTCGCCCAAGCCAGCTGTTCCAATTCTGGGGCCCTGGGCTGGCGGACAGGGGAGGTGCGTGGGGGCTCGAGGTCTCACCCTGGAGAAGCCGGCACAGCCGGTTTATAGGGTTCATAGGGTTCATAGGGTTTAAAGGGTTTATAGGGTTCATAGGGTTTATAGGGTTTATAGGGTTTCTAGGGTTTAATAGGGTTTATGGCGTTTATAGGGTTTCTAGGGTTTATAGGGTTTACAGGCTTTATAGGGTTTTTTAGCGTTTCTAGGGTTTTTTAGCATCCCAAGTTTAGGGTTTTTAGAACCCTGAGAGGTGCAGCGATTCATGCGGCTTTGCTTCGACTCCCTGGGCTTGCCGGCTCCCCTTTGCCACCCAGCGGTGTGGTATCAGCCACGTGGCTCTGTTTAGGGTTTAGGGTTTAGGGTTTAGGGTTTCAGCCCCGTGGCTCTGTTTCGGACCCAGACTCGGCCCTTCTTCCTTCATTGTTGTTTTTATTTGTTCTTTTTATATATTTTTTGGTTTCATTGTTTTGTTCTATTATTATTCTTTTGTTTTTTTAATTATTGTTATTATTAGCATAGTTTTTTTTTTTTTTTTTTTTGGGGGGGGGGTGGGTTTTTCTCTTACAAGCCCCTTCAAAGCAAATCCTTGGAGCACTTTTCTTCAGTTTCGGGCTCCCCCCCCCCCCCCCCCCAAAGATGCGCAGACTTGTGCGGTAAAGCTAGCCCATGCAAAGTGACAGCCTCATCGCATCCGTCGTTGCCGTGGTGCTGGTGCTGGTGCTGGTGGTGGTGGTGGTGGTGGTGGTAGTGCCGGCTGGTGCTGGTGGTCGTGGTGGTGGTGGTATAGTAAAGGATACACTTTACCCCCCCCTCCCCCCCAAAAAAACTCTGTTTACCTTGGCAATCACAGCGCGCTGCCTTTGGACATCTTCGATACCTTCGACATCTTCGTTCGCTTCGCATCTCCCCCCGCCACCTTTTGCTCCTGCAAGGTTGCTCCGGGAGGTGACGACTGATCCTGCAGAGACCTGGCTTGCAATTTCATGCACCCGGCAGTGTGGATATGTAGAATAATATGGTTAGATGTCTAAACCCTACACCCTACACCTAAGCCCTAAACCCTAAACCCTAAACCCTCATGTTCACTTGTTCCGATCCTTGCTTGTTCCTGCTGCGCGGGCACCTGCAGGGGTTTTTTCTCTCTTGGGCATAGGAACCTCCACTGACTCTGGCAGAGTCTGGCCTTTATGACTTCAGCGCAGCTACCCAGAGAGCCCAATACGCCCTAGTTAAGAATGTACCTGAAATCAAACAGGGACCCTTATATAGTATGATTAATTTGAGGTACATTCCTTAACTAAGGGAGATTGGGCTTGTGGGTACCGGAAAGTCCTGACAGGCGCGGCTCCCAAAGGAGCTGGCGGGAGAATTTCTGCAACTTTTTCTGGAGCGACTCCTCAGTGCCAGCCCCAGGATGCCAGTTAGAGGGGCCTTGTTTGCTTGTTGGTTTAGGGTTTAGGGTTCAGGTTTAGGGTTTAGGGTTTAGGGAGTTCGAGGGTGTGTGGCATCACATGTGGTAGAGATCTTACAAGGTACCCTCTGCAAGTTAGAAGCCTTTACAAGCGAAGTTTTCTGCATGACAGTGCCGGGGGCGGCATTGTTTCAGGCAGCATGCGACACCGTTTGTGTTGAGGAGAGCCTTCGTGTCCCAAGCTTTTCCATGTTTGCTCCTGGCCTTCGCAAGCTGTTCAATGCTAGCAGCACAGTAGGCTGCTCCTTCAACTTGGACGCTGATCCAGCTTCACTCTGCTAGGACCCAGAGTAGCCCTAATTCCCCTTTTTGTTTCAGGTTCCCTGGGAAGCCCCTTAAACCAAGAAGGGCGCCCTTTTTCTTCCTAGGTCACTCTAGTGTGGAAATGTGGGTTGAGCAGAGGAATTTTGGCCGGTTCTCCAAACTATACCGAAGCCCCCGTGAAGATTCCATAACTTAACTAGCACCACGACCTCCGCCCTTGCACACCAGGTTTCCAGTTGGCGCAACAGGACCGGCAACACCAGCAGCCCATGCTTGACGCAAGCATACATAGATGTCAGAGTAGACGGATCGTACCGCTGCGCTGACGCCTTCGTGATCGCCATCGAGCGTTTGTGGCGCTTGGGAACGAAAGCAAGCTCTTCGCCGAACTCTTCCTCATCCCCTGCTTTCTGAGCAACCCTAAACCCTAAACCCTAAACCCTAAACCCTAAACCCTAAACCCTAAACCCTGATGCTGGCCTTCAGGGCTCATGCCTCTGCATGCCGTGTCAGTTGCTGCCTACCCCAAAGAGCCCAACATTGCAAAATTCAGGAATATTCCTTAAATCATATAGGGATCTTTAATATGATTTAAGGTATATTCCTTAATTAAGCAATATTGGGCTCTTTGGGACCTTGGCCCCATGGTGCAGGAGACGGAGCCACATGAAGAAGCGTTTTCACGACCTCAGGGGAGCAGATCCCTGGCTGCTGAAGACTATAGGTTTAGGGTTTAGGGTTCAGGGTTTAGGGTTTAGGGTTTAGGGTTTAGGGTTTAGGGTGGAGTCAGGACCTTTGGTGCGATTCAGATCGGCCTCCCTTGATCAAAGGTTGCCACTAGAAGCACTCGATACTTCTCAACAAGAGCACCCCCCCCCATGAGAGTTTGACACGTTTCTGAGACTTCCCGGAACTGCAGACTCTGTGAGATGTGGAGAGAAATGACAGGAAAAGGACTGGAGCGTTGCTTGACTCTCAATGGGTTCAGGATGACAAGGTTTCAGTTAGGTTCCCAAAGAGCCCAATATAGCTTAATTAAGGAATATCACTTAAATCATATTAAGGATCCCTATATGATTTAAGGAATATTCCTTAATTAAGCAATATTGGGCTCTTTGGGTTCCTGCAGGCTTTATTATGCAATACAAGGTTTTCCTTTTCAAGATCTACTTCTAGCCCGATGGCCCAAGCTGGCGTGAAGCACCTAAGGCGTCCGTCACAACTGCTAAGCCTACACAGCTTTCCCACATACGTCCGGGGACATTAAACAGTGAACTTCATGAAGCAGACGTCACGTCAGCTTCCGCAAAACCCACGTTTCAGGTCTGTCTTTGGCAAGCACAAGGGCAGAGGCCGGGAGTGTCAATCAGGCTGTTGCCAAAGTCGGTTGCTCTTACACGGTTCGGCTTCTGTCCGTGCAGTCGCTTTCAGATTTACACGTGCGCCTCATATTTCTGTTCACACCCTCAGCCTGGGCATCCCTTGACACCCGGCTTTCACTTGCCTTGCAACTAGTCGCATGCCGACCACAGAAAGCAGGACATCGGCAAAGACATCACGACCTTTGCTGGGCTGCTTGTCTGGTACTGCCTCGTCCCACTTGCGCACGTGCAGTATCTGAAAATGTTTTTCCAAGAAGAAACCAAAGAAAGCAGTCAGCAGGCTAATTTTGAGTGCGTGATCGCTACTTATGCACCCACTGCCCGTTCGGTAGCGGGGTTTAGCTAGCCGACTTGCCACTAGCGTAGCGTAGCGTCGTCTAGCTAACTGCTAGGCATGTGCATCTTATTATGTCAACTCCTGGCAGCATCGTTGGCAGGGGCTCACGTCAGCAGCAAGCAGCTGACAAGCTCCCTGGACGGACGACATGTTCTGACAACTCAAGAAGAAGTGCAGTCCATCCCGGAAGCAGAGCCATTTTCCCAAGTCCATGGTGTCAGGTAGGATACATCATCCTTCATGCACAGAATCTAGGATCCGTTCAATGATTTTCTTTCAGCCAAGGAGCCCAATCACTGCAAGCTGCCATGCGTCAGCGCCTGCCAGCGTCATCACCAGCGCCATGGCTGCGAGTTCTCAGGAGCTTCATTGTCCCACAGAGCCCAATATCCCTTAGCTAAGGAATATACCTTAAATCATATTACAGTATGGGCCCCTATATGATTTAAGGCGGTGTATTCCTTAATTAAGGGGTAGTGGGCTTTTTGGGGTATTGTAGCTGCTCGTCGACCGACTCGTCCCGGCCCGAAAAGCGTTTGATTGCCTGCGGCGGACATGAGAGTTTTGGGTTTATAGGGTTGGATTGAGGGGTTCTTTTTGTGTCAAAGATTGGCCAAGGGACCCCATGAAACCGATTTTTGAGGGCTTGGTTGGGTTGTAGGGGGTCGTGTCAGGGGTCTGTGTCAGGGCTTCGTCGGGGGTGTCTAGGAAGTCCAAGGACAGAGCCGGGGCGGCTCGTGAATTCTGCCTCCTCAGCGCTTGCCAAGCCTTCAGTCCCCCGCGGGACCTTGAGAACCATGCCAATAACCGTAAGCCAGAAGTCGCTGTTGAGGAACCAAGCGGGCTACTTATTCTTGTAATCCAGAGAAACGGCCAGCTAGAAGTAGCAATCTGGTTTGAGTCGCCTGCAAAAAGGTGCCGTGGTCAATGCGGGCACAGTTCTGGGCGACTCTGCGGCCAAGGTGCCGTCGCTGGACAGTACAGTAATTAGCCGATATCTTGTTTCGGCTGTTTAGATCGTTATCAAGAAGCAAGAAGGCAGACATCGATGATCTTGCCGCTATCACAACTAGAAACTATAAAATAGCGTTTGGTTTATCTTCTTTGTACCCTTCAGGCCGCAGCAATTATTTGCAGATGTCTTTTCAAAGCAGCACAAGCCCGAGCAGGCCCCAGGATGTCACGTGGAAAAGGCCCATGGCATGCTTTCCAGTGAATCCTTAGAATGCCATCCTCAACACAAACTTTCCTTGGAGTTCGGGTTTCGGGCTTAACCATGACATGCTAATGACAGCACCAGTTGAGCTCTGCAGCGCACGCCTGAGACATGTTTGCGCTCGTCATGCACATTCTCCATCTTCTACTGTAGGGGCTATAAAGAGTGCGCTGGGTGTATGGTAAGCTTTTTTCGCGAAATGTCCGTCACTCAAGGCTGCTTGGTTCATGGTTGCTCTCCTGGACCTTGCAGGTGAAGTTTTCGCCCCACGTCGTCAAGCTGGATGATGGCTCTTCAGTTCCTTCCACGATGACACCAGGCCTCATTCCCGTCCTGATTGTGTATGCTGTAGCAGAAGCTGTAGAAGCCAAGGGCCCCGCGGTACAAAGCAGCGCCACCGACTTGAATAGCTCCCTGCTGCAAGGCTCCGGAACCGGACAGGAGCGCCGCGTCCTCGAGGACATGATCCCAAGCAGCGGAACGGTGGCGTCCCCCTCCATGTTCACAGGGCCCGTGGCCTCGCCCCCACGCCAGTCCTTCGAGGTGAAGGAAGCCAAGAGCTCCCCCAAGGCTCCCAGTCCAGGTACCGGCGAGATTCCCAGCCCCTCCTTTCCAGCCAGGGGCCCCTGCACCTCCCACTACAGCTTTGGGCCCTTGAGCTTCCAGAGGGAAGAGGAAGTACCAGCCCTGGGATCACCTCCACAGCCGCCACAGGCGCGGACGTCGTGGAGTTGTGGATCACTGGAAGCACGGTCTAGATCCCTGCCGACAGTCATGGTGCGTTGCCGACAGAGACTCTGCAAGCCTAGTCCTCAAAATCTTCAACTGTCAGCAGGAGTTTCAAAATTCTACCTCCACAACGTTGGCGGGAGTGATGCTCTGCCTGCAATTCAGCTACATGCTGCAGGTTGTACTGGGTAGCACCGCAAAACACAGCCCTGCGATCGCCTGACCACTGCGCTGCCACGCGCAGCAACGCTGCTCTCTCCTCATCCCATTGGACACCCTGCCATTCAACCAAAGTAACGCATCCTCCGCCGAGACCCTCCAAACATCCATAGGCCCAGTTAAAGCGAGGCGGACAGGCCTTAACTCGTCCAAAATGCAGGCCAACCACCGAGTCCAAGAGCCCACAGAATCCCCATCAGTTCACCCTAAACCCTAAACCCTAAACCCTAAACCCTAAACCCTAAACCCTAAACCCTAATCATCAGAAATCCCTCCAGCGAGCGAGACCCTAGACCTTCGGGTTTAATATCGCAGCAACCCCAAATGCTCTTCTGCCCTAAGAGCCCGGCTCTCCAGGCCTCAGACCGCAACCAGCACTTGAAAGATCTCTTCTGAGGCCCCACGCCGAGTTCTGCCAGTTCCTTTCACAAGGCCGGCGCAGGTGGTCGAAAAAGGGTTTAGGGTTTAGGGATTAGGGAAAGGGCTGACCGGTGATGAGGCAACAAAGCCTTTAAGACTTTAGGCATACTTTAGGCCAGGCTCAGAAGCAGGACGTGAGGGCGCAAGGGCTGAATGAGCTTTCGTAAGTAAATAATAAACATACGAACAATTATTAACATATTTTTGAAATATTCAGGAAAAACTAGCCATTTTAATGATATTAACACTTTTCAGAATATTCATAACCACCATCGTAGCCATAATATTCGTAACACAACATTCATATCTATACTATTCACAACAGTGAAAGTATTGGTAAGTTTACAACAATACTAATAATATGAAGTGTTGGTAAGTTTACAACAATACGAATAATATGAAGAATGCTAAGATTAGATAGTTTTAGATCACTATTTTAGATCATAGTAGTAATGTTAAATACTATAAACATGTTTTTAAGATTTGTGCTGCTCTTAGTACTTATAATATGAACAATATCAAGGGCATTAATAAAATTGAGAATGTTACGTAATGATATTAAGAATATCAGTAGAAAACTATGAAGATCCGTTTCTCTCTATGTTTCTTGTCGGAGCAGTTTAGCGGCGTCAGGATTTCCGCACAGGCTCCTTTCGTTTGTTCTGCTTCTCTTGTCACGCAGTAGCATCACAAGTGCTGAGCCTGCCAGAGGCGAATAAGGCGATGGAGATCAGAACAGAACCATCGTTGCATGTCAGCTCCTGGGCTAGACAAGGCGTAGAATGTAGAAGAGGGCAAGAGTCTCAGGCTGCCACGGATGACTTCAAGTGCACGAGCTCGGAAGCTACAGGAGTTAGTTGCGGATAGGCTCGTGAGCCTTATGTCTTAAAGCTCTGTGTGGGCAGAGGCTTCCCGTTGCCGCGACTTCGTGTGTTGCGGTATTGTCATTCAGCCCAGTATTTTCAATAGGGAACCGGCGCAAAGCTGCAGCATCCACACCACTCCCAGAAATGCAAACTAGGGTTTCGGGTTTAGGGTTTAGGGTTTAGGGTTTAGGATGCCTTGGCGAGTTTGTCAGGGATACCTGCAGCAGATGCCGAGAACCAGCCACCACCGACTGCACCTCGGAATTTATTTTGGGGACTGATTGGCAAATGGGGTTTCCGAAATTCGAGCTACCTTATTGGGGGGTCCTTATTCTAAGGGAATCCTCCTATCATTTTCGAAAACCTCCAAATGGTAGGGTTTAGGGTTTAGGGTTGAGGGTTTAGGGTTTAGGGTTTAGGGTTTAGGGTTTAAGGAGGGGGTTAGGTACCCAGGGAACCTTCGGGAAGCTTCGTGAGCCTTAGGCAGTCGTAGAAGGGTTTTAGGGAACCTTGGGTTACATACCCCCTTGAACCCCCCCTCTCGCTGAAGAACCCTAAACCCTAAACAAGGAAACGAGGCGGGAGCCCTACGAGGCGGAGGCCAGAGGGACAGCTCTGGGTTGAGAGCGGTTTGAGGACCCGGAGCATAGGACCCCTATTCCCAGATCTTCCAAAAGCCCCTTAAGTAAGGAGTATATACCCGAAATCATCATAATGATCATGATCCTCAGTATAAATTACTTAAGGGGTTCTGGAAGATCTGGGTTCCCTCTATGTTTAGGGTTGAGGTTCCTCTTACAAGCGCCTGCGAACCAAAAAAGAGGGCACCCGGTTTTTGTTTTCCCAGGCTACTCTTGGGTCTAGGGCTTGAGGCTGGGCGTAGGGTTTTGGGTTTAGGGTTTAGGGTTTAGGGATTAGGAGCAAGTCATAAAGGGGTGAGGTTGGTTTGGGGTTCGAGAACCTGCCTGCAGCTGTCAAGCCCCTGAGTTGGTACACACAGACCTCGAGCCCATAAATAACAATCAACAAAGCGCACAACTTCGACCCTAAAACCCTACACCCTAGCCCTAAACCCTAAACCAGTCTGCGCTTCTGGCTGCCGAACCAGCGTGCGTGAGTGCTGGGCGGGTGGCAAAGATAGACCCTAAACCCTCTCTATGCTTCGGTCCTAAACCCTATATGCTAAACCCTAGGCCCTATATACCCTATACCCAGGTTGCCAGTACTTGGCGAGGGGTGTGCTTGCAGATCCTAAACCCTACAACCTAAACACCCTAAACCCTAAACCCTAGACCCTAAACCCTAAACCCTAAACCCTAAACCCTAAACCCTCTACCCTAGAAGCCCGAGAACAGCTTCGGAGGTTTGCCGACTCTTAGAGGCCGTGCAGGGTGCATGTGTCTTGACAGCGTTTAGGGTTTAGGGTTCAGGGTTTGGGGTTTGGGGTTTGGGGTTTAGGGTAGGGTTTAGGGTTTAGGGTTCAGGGTTTAGGGTTCAGGGTTTAGGGTTCAGGGTTTAGGGTTTGGGGTTTAGGGCTCATCTAGGTTAGATGAGCCTGCAGTGCGGTGGAGGATAACCCTAAACCCTCAACCCCGACTCACCTACCAAGGCAGCGACTTGGCCCTGCGGCTCGAGCACCAGCGCCAGGTGTCGGGTTTCCCCGAGAATTGCAGGATCTACTTAGCCCCCCCCTCATTAAAACTAAGAGGAAATAGAAGTAGCCAAATAAAAAAATCAATAATCATAATAATCATAATATTAATGATAATAGTAATGATACTACTGATAATAATAGTAATAAGAAGAAGAACTAACTAGCTGTAGTAAGGATAAGTGTGGCCGCCAAGATGTCAAGCCAGCAATTGCATAGAGAAGGGACATGTATGGACATGTGATCCACGGATATGCCTTGAGATCGTGACCTGGGGTTCGAAGTTAAGAACCCTCCTCTGTGAAGCCAGAAGTAGACTCATGTCCTTGGCACAAGCTCCTGAGCTTGGATTTGAAACCCGAAGCCCGTCTGAAGACCCTAGAGCCCGAACCCTCCAACCAGTCACGCGGAGCAGTCGCGAAACGGGGTGGCACAAAGAACCCTTGAGTTGTCCGACTGCAGATTGCGCCTGGACAGCCAGCGCCTGGAGCGCAGTGGTGACCTCTCTGCTTCAGGGATATCTGTCCTTCGTCCTTCGCCAGGGTGTGAGGGTATTCTACGGCTGGACGAACATGATCTTCAACATGCTTTGGGTCGTTTCGGAGATCATTGCTCGTGTCCTCAGTTGTGTTCGATCCCACGGTCGCGATCCGAGAGACTGAAACGTTGAGCTTATTGGGCTTGGGGACCATACTTGCTGCTTGAACTGGTCAAAGATGAAATTTGCGAGATGAAAGCATGCCCTGAACACTTGATAAGCTCGCACCTGGAACTAGCTTCAAACGCAACAACAAGTGAAGCAAGTGAAGTCACCGGGGAAGGGCAGCTGAACCACAAAACGGGTGAAAGAGATTCCCCCGGCCCGAAAAATGCCCGAATGCCAGAAGGTACGACATGAGCACTCCGGCGCTGCCCCTCAGCACTTCGGGAAGTCTCCGGGTCGCAGCCGTGGCCGCTCGGCGGGGAATTTCTAGAGCAGCTCCGGGTTCAAAGCTTTGGGGCCTCTGCATGACCCACTGACAGCAGGGATGGAGTGCCTGCGCGGTATTCGTAGGTTGTCAGACCGACTTGGCCTTGGCTGGGAGTCTTCACTTCTGCAGACCCTGCCTCCTTCGTCACGAAACCTGTGCCCTGAACACCCGCACGGCTTAGTTGAAACTTCCCGAATCCTTGCCTGCTGTGCACGAGTGTGCCTTGGGTTGCGCAGCGCAGCTAAGGGGGATGACGTCGTTGGAGCCCCAACAATGGAGAGGTTTTGGAGCTAGGGCTTGACACGGCTTGAAGCTCCTGATGCTGGGGAGTCAGCCCAGCTCAGCTCAGCGCCACTGGTCTGTGCACAAACTCTGCATGCGTTGCAACAGATCATGCAGGTGCCCCCCTTCATGCACAAAAGTCATGTCCCCAGATGGGCATCTCTGGGTTTGAGCCAATCGAGTTTGCCTGCCGAGGTCGAGGATCCATGCCCAATGCTCAGGTGCGCTGCTTTGCAGATTTGCACTTGGAGGTTCCTGGGTACTTATAAGTAGGGTTATAAGTACCCTAAGTATGGCTATAACCATAGTTACCCTACTTATAACCCAACTTAGAGGTACCCATGAACCTCGAAGCAGAGCAAGCCCGGATGTTTAGGGTTTAGGGTTTAGGGTTTAGGGTTTAGGGTTTAGGGTTCAGGGTTCAGGGTTTAGGGTTTAGGGTCCCGAGTTTTCCACTCCTGGTTCATGGTGGGTTTAGGGTTTCGGGTCCGGGCCCAAATAAAAGGGTGTAGGGTGTAGGTTCAGTTCTGTTTTTCTCGCAAGCCTGCTCAAAAGGGTGTCTTCTCTCCTCCCCCGTGGTTCGTGCTGCGTTTAGGGTGAAGGCTAAGGGTCAGGGCTTAGGGTCGTGGAACGCGGACGCATGCATGACCAAATGCTGTTGGATTGCCCTTCTTGGCACATGTCCACCTTTGCTTGTCAACACGCCATGAGCTAGGAATCTGTATTTTGCTATGGATTACATAGGTGCCACAGTAAGGAACTAGAGTGAGCACGTCCTATGTTTCGCTCCATCCCACAACAGCAGAATACCAAGCCAGCCGAAGCTGCTTACTCCATCAGTTTCCCTCAGTAGCCGGAGGCCTCAAATAAACATAGCATTCTCTCTTGTTTTGGCCATGCCGGACCCATTGATTTGGGAGATCATCGGCGGAGGTGACAAAGGCCTCGCACGTAGCTCGATTGTTGGTTCTGTTGTGAATTTGCACGCTGTCGAAGCGTACCGAAGACACAACGCAAGGCTCCCTGTGCATTGCCAGCTCTCCCTTGCGCTCGCTCTCTTTTCTCTCTTGTCTCCCTCTCTCGGGCACAGTACGTCTCTAGGGGATGAATGGCTTCAAGTGCTTCACAGAGCCTCGTCTGAGCGTGGCTTTGCAGCTGGAGTTTGCGGATGCTTGCGACGACGAAGCTGCCAGGTGGAATCATTGTGCGCGACGGTGAGAGCACGAAGTCTGCCCAGCTGGGCGATCGCCTCTTGTCTTTGGCGTGCAAGTTCGGAGACTCGGATTGTTGACTGAGCTAGGGGCGTGGGGATCCTTTCTAAACGTTCAAAACAATGCGTAAGAAGAAAGGACGCAAACATCTTAGGAACTCAGCCAGTGGAAGTGACACATGCTTGAGGCAGCCATGTCATTTTTTGTTCGTTGTTCTTGGACGCATAGTCATTTCCAGCCAACCCATTACATCAGATCATGAACCAAACTCCCATTGCAGGGAGCTTCGAACACAGTCTGGTGCTCTGTTGACAGATGCTCTAGCAGACATCCACGCGCACTTTGTGTCCTCTATCAGAGGGCATGCCTTTGGGGGTTGGCGAAAATAGGGGCCCCTAAAATAGACCCCCAAAAGTAGGGTTCCCTTTTCACAAGGACCCCACAAAGGTACCCTTAATTTCGGACACCCCCTTCTGGAGAAATTGGAATCTTCAACCCCGAAGAGTGGCTGTCTCCAGGTTTAGCAACGGGCTCACTGGTGGAGCAAGTATCTGTGAAAGGCTCCCCGGCTTCTGTGGGATTCCTCGATTCGGGCTTTGGCCTCTCACGTTTGGGGCCAGTGTAGAGTGAAGTTTGCTTCAGGAAGCTGCAGCTAAGCTTTCATGAGTACATGTACGTCAGCTCATGGTGGAGAACCGGATATTGCTTCCGCGCCGATGCATTCCATGCCTTGCCTTTGTTGTGCCAAGCCGCAAACACGTGCCTCCTTGTGTTTCCAACAAGTCCTTCCAAGAATTTGACTGTTCAAGGCGATCGCTTGCAGTACAAGCTGCTCGTCGGCGCAGGCACAGAGATTAATTCACGAATGAAACTCTGCGAAGTCTTCAGCAGCAAAGTCGGCATAAGCACCGCTCCATCGAAAGTTGCAAGTAGCATGCGCCTTTTTCGGCTTGGGGCTTGTTGTGCCAAAGGGCGGATCGCACGGATAGCCTCTCAAGCCACCCCGGTTCGTGCGAAAATCCGCGGACCACAAACCACGCAGTTGCACTGATTGCATGCCATTGGATAAGAGTAAGAATGAGGACTTGGGCTTTAGAATCATGATCTTGTTCTTGAGTGAAAGAATGCCGGATGGTTGCACTGGGTGGGTCTGTCCAAATCCAGCCCGACAGTACAATGCAGTGCCGACAGCTCTTGCAACCGCACCTTGCCCATCTGAGCCAGTTCAAAACATCTCAGAAGCGAACCTCCGAGCGGCTGAACCTGGAATTCCCTTGAGTGCAGCCAAACCCTAGACCCAAAACCCTAAACCCTAAACCCCACACTCTATTTCAACTTTAAAACCTCAAAGGCCCACCAGAGGGCTGGGTCAGTGTCGTGCTCTCTGGGAAGCCGCTGGCCGTGGTCAAGCGGGGCAGCGACGCGGAGGCGCCAGCGGCGCCGCCTGCGGCGGTGGAAGCCGACACGGCCGTGGCGACGCTCGCTTATGGAGTGCGACCTATTTAGGGTTTAGGGTTTAGGGGTTTTGGAGTGCGACCTTCTGAGCAATATTGCACAGATCTTCCAAAACCCCGTAGTTAAGGAATATACCCCAATTCATAGTCATGATCCTTAGTATAAGTTGGGGGCTTATTCCTTCATGAAGGGGTACTACTAGATTGATCCAGTAGCTCAGTTCGTGTCTTCAATCACCCAAAGTGTTTTCAGCTTGTGTGTTGGCACCGACCCAATGCATAGCTCGTGGCTTTAAGAGCCAAATTCCGTTTTGGGGAGCCCGTGTCCCCATTGTGGAACTTTAAGCGTGACCTCGTTGAAGCTGAGGCCGTTATTGGTAGGACAGTAGCCTTTTGGTCGTTGTTGTTGCCTCTGCGGCCATCGTTCATGGCGGGGAGTGGCGGTGGTACTGTCTACCTCCTGTTCTTGCTTAGCAAAGACGCAGAGAAGCTGTAATGCTTTGATGCATCTTCGTGCCACTGCTCGCAGAATGCATGCACTGCAGGAACGGACATGACCAGGAGAGCGAGGAGGAACGCGCAAAGAGGCGACCCGTCATGTACCGACATGCTACTGCAGTGCGAGTCACTGGAGTTGTGTTTACTGGTCGCAGGTGCAGTTTCCGTAGATGAGCTGCATGCGATCTTGTAGCACTGTTATGGCTTGACTGAAGTGATCTGTCTAGTTACGTAATTTCTGCGAGACTCTGTCTCGAAGATATTCGAGTTTCCATAGAGCCTGCCTTCAACAGGAGAGCAAAGTGGGCGACATGGACACCGCTTCCCTCGGAGGTGGGATTCCTTGGAGTTCGTGCCAGTAGTCGGAGTCGGCCTCGCCCCGAGCCCATGTGCAAGCCATCTGGTCCTGTCGCATGTTTGCTACTCCGTTTTCGATCCTCCGATGCTAAACTTGAGAATCCTCAACCCTAAACCCTTAACCCTAAACCCTAAACCCTGAGATAAGCCAGGTGTGGGATACCTTCCCGCGCTCTGGTGACGGCGGTCGTCCCCTCACGCTCGGGGCCTTTAAGAAGGCCGTCTTTGGGAAGCCGAGTACCGCCCGAAATAACCACCCTAAGCCCTAAACCACCCTATAGGTACTCAGTGAGATTCATTGCGTTCATTGTGGAAGCGCCGAAGTGCCAACCCGGCAGGGAAAGAAGCCTGAAGACATCTCCGCCCTTCATCTAGACCCACTCAAGTCACAGACCCCGCAGCTATCACTCCTGGTGCTTGGTTGGAGTCGACACGGAAGAATGCATGTAACCGCATCTCCCATCATGCAGGTGGTCGGAGAAGCTGCACCTGGTGAGTTTTGGGGACTGCACCTGGGCTTGTTTCGGAAGAAAGTTGCGCAATACTGCGATTGAAGAGTAGACGCGAGACCTAAACCATGAAGGTGCGAGACCTAGACCATGAAGGTGCGTGTCGAGCGTGGGCAGTGCGCATGCGCTCGATCAAGGTGCCTTAGAAACCCCTGAAGCCTGGACCGAACGCCGAGGAACATGCCCTTGTCGCCGGGCCAATTCCGGGACATGGGGCCTGCTCCTCGATGCGGTGAAGATATGCTGTTTTAGGGTTTAGGGTTTAGGGTTTAGGGTTTAGGGTTTAGGGTTTAGGGCAAAGTCATGATTCTTGAGGTGCAGGGTTCGGGGTTTAGGCAAAAAGGGTTGAGGGTTTAGGGTGAATTGGCAACCTGTCATCTGAGCTGTGTTGCAGGACTGGCTCACAAAGGCCATGCACAAGGCAGGCACGCTGCCCAAGGACAACAAGATAGCCCCTCAGCAGCACATGCTCGGTGTCTGACACTGTGTCCCCCAACCATGCTTCGTGTAAGCGTCGCTACTGGCAGCACGACGTGAACTCGGGTTTAGGGTTTAGGGTGTAGGGTGTAGGGTATAGGGAACCGTGACAGAACACATCCGCACATGCTCTCCGCGCTTTGCGAATATTTCCGCCTAAGCCCTAGACCTTTTGCAAAGCCTTCTGCCAGGACTTAGACCCCTGGGTTTTTCGCAGGGAATCAGGGAATGAGGGGCCCTTTATATACCCTTTAAGGGGATTAGATAGGGTACCTCATTCCCTACTAGTCATGTCTGACAGAACTCAAGGCACGAATCCACAAAGATGGTGCACCCAATCGCCGTGCCTTCATTCAATCTCTTGCGCGTGGCTAGTTGCTGACCAAGTAGGGTCACTTGAGCTTGTGCTTTCTTGGTTTAGGGCTCAGCGCTTGCAACTAACTTAAAATTTGCTCGGTCTACTCGCCCACGGCCTGGGTGTTCTGTCTGACTTCGGTGGCTCTTGCTGGCCTAAGGTCAAGTTCACAGAGTTCGACATCAAAGCTGCAAACACAACCGGGTCTACAGAATCCTCAGCGTCATGGCTTTGATTGTTGATTGCATTCCAGGGACGCCTAGTGGCGATGCCAGGCACTGTTGCGACATGGCTGTTGGGCTCACAGACAGGTACTGAAGGGATGCAGATCGTCTCATAAGAGGCCTGAGCCCATAAAAT